AGAGTGGGCAAGGTCCGGATTTCTGGGGGTAGCTCATTCCAAAGGGTCGGAGCAGCCACAGAGAAGGCTCTCCTGCGGGGAGCCACCAGCCGGCATTGTCTGGCTGACGGCATCTGAAGGATGCCCACCCTATGGGATCTCACCGGCCGTTGGGAGGAATGTGGCAGGTAAAACTCTCTCCCTCTGTGGGGAAGCTGCTCAGTGGCCCGGGCACCAAGCCAAGCCCTGTGACACAAGAGGCAACCGGGGTTCTCCCAGAGAAGAGCATTTGAGCCCAGTCCAGCCTGCTGGGCAAGTACCTGGCTTGGCTCCCCTGGGCTATAAGAGGAAAATCTGGGGATCCGGCGGATTTCTTCTTTGGAAAGGCGGTTCTGGAGAATCTCCTCTTCCGGCACACAGGCAACGGGCTCTGTCACCATCACGGGCTCCGGGGCTGGGGGAGACACTCCAAGGCTACTGAAGGTGGTAGAGCCAGATGGATCAGGCACCTTCTGGGGAGACCTGGACGGTTCCGGTGGCCTCTGGCTTGACAACGGTTCGCTCAGGAGCTCCCGATAAACCGTGTCCAGCGGAGCCGTTGGGCCCGTCTCAGGGGCAACCTCCGGCCGAGCTTCATCTGCAGCACAGGAGGCAAAGGAAATTCCTGACCAGTCGGCCTGGGGAACAGAAAGGAGCCCCACACACCATCCGGGGCAGCCTTCGGCCCAGACGGGCGCCGTACCTTGGCGATACAACATCCGCAGAAAGGAATGGCGGTCCGTTCCCTGGAAAAGAGCCTTCTCAATCTCCATCTCGCGCCTGCTGAGGGACTTGCTGCCCGCAAAGTGCTGCGGCAGGGAGAGGATGCGCTGGCGCTCGGCCATCTTTTCCTGGATGGCTCGGATCCTGTCCTGAGTGGCCTCCGGCGCTGCCCCAAGCCCAGGGCTCTGAAGGAAAGGAGAGGCTGGGGGAAGACTCCGGCCTCCAGAGCAGGGAGAGGAGGGGGAGGCAGCCTTCCTCTGGGCCTGGGGGCTGTGGAGAGGGGTTCCTGGAAGGAGGGAGGGGAGGGCCGGGGAGAGGGATCTCCACCGGGCAGTCCCACAAACGAAGCAGGAGGGCAGCCCCCAAGGCACAGCCCCCACTCCCAGCCCCACCCAGCCACCGCCTACCTTCTGGTCCCGCTGCCTCCAGAGGCGGATCTCGGCGTCGGAAAGGCCCAGCTCCTGCAGGGAGGCCGCTTCCCCGCTGCTCTCCTGCAGCGCCCGGAACTCCGGCAAGCTGCGGGCGCCGGCCGCCTCCTTCCCGAAGGGCCGGTAGACGGTGGCCGGCGTGAAGCGGTGCCGCTTGGCCACGCACCTGCGGAGAACGGAGGCCCTCCGTCACTCCCCGGCCTTCCTTTCTCCCCCTCCGCAGCCGCTCCAGCCGCCCTCGGCTGCGGGGGTCCCGGCCGAGCCCCTCCCGCCCCGCTCCGCCGCTCACTGCTCCAGCGACGCCGCCGTCTCCAGCTGGTGGCGCAGCAGCCGCTTCAGCTGCCTCTCGCCCTCCGTCTCCAGCTCCTCCGCCGCCGCCGCCGCTGCATNAAGCCCTATGAAGCGGTATATAAGTCTAACTGCTATTGCTAACTACTTTTAAGTATTCATCCAATGGCTCTTTTAGCAGTTCAAAATAGCCCAAGGAAAGGGGCTTACTCTCGCCCCTAGAAGAGAAAGACCCCCCCCCCCTCAGCGAATGCTAAAGAACCCTGCCATCCCTTAGCCACACTCACTTATCCCCCGACTGAACACGGGGCTCCAGAATGCTCCGAGAGAACCCAGATGACACAGCCAGAGGAATCACGAGCATTCACACTGTTCACGCAAACTGAGCAAGAAAAAATCAGCGGAATCTCTCTCCTCCAATGCTGGCTTAACAAAACGACTCCTGCAGCTCGGCCACTTTTATTCCCCGCTCCCTGCGTGCAGTCTGCTCCCTCTGTAGGTAGAAGACAAAGGGCTCACAGGCGCCCCAGCCGCAATAGTCTTCTCTGCCTGCAGGCAAAGCCGTCAAGCTACCCCAACGCTGTAGGATTTGTCCGACTGTCCGCCGTTCTCCCGGAGTGCAGAGTCGGTTCCAGGGCCCAGGGCGGAAGCCGGCTTCCCGCTCCGGCCAAACTCGAGGATGAGCGGCTTCCCTCGCAGGAGGAACCCGTTGAGCAGCTCCAAGGCTTCCTGGGCCTGGGACACGGCTAGCCAGAGAAGAAGAAGGCGGCTTAGTGGAGGAGAGAGAAAGAACCCAAACCCATCCCGGCCCTCCCACAGAGGCGAGGTGCTTACTGGGAAAGGTGAGGAAGGCCTGGCCTTTCATGCGCCCGCTCAGCAGGCGCAGACGAAGGGGGGTGGCATCCTTCTCTTGGAAGCGGGAGAACAAGGGCAGAAGGTCCTTCACTGTGGCGCTGCGACTCAGATTTTTCACGTACAGCACCTAACCAGCCCCCCAGAGGAAACAGAGCAGGCTGGGTGTCTGCCTCAGCCCCTGCCACCTCCCCCAGGAGGCACAGGAGTCATTTGCATACCTGCCTGGCAAGAGGGAAGAGGGACGAGAGGCCTCTCCTTCCTCCACGCAAGCCCACCCGGGCTGAGGGCCACTATATTCTTCTCCCCTGCAGGCTCCTTCTTAGGAATCCACCCTTGTCACCCTGGGCAACTGGCAGGGAGGGAGGGGTGGCTATTTTGCCTGGTTCTGCGCTTTACAGAGAGGTATTATTATTTATTATTTATTTTATTTATACGATTTATAAGCCGCCCAATCCCAGAGGATTCCGGGCGGCTTACAATGAAAGAAAAAAAAGAAATAATAAAAAAATGAAAATAAAAACAGGTTGAAAACTACACACATATATTCGTTATGATCGGGGCTGGACCTCAACAATGAGGTCAACAGCCCCAGGCCTGCCGGAATAGCCAGGTTTTAACAGCTTTCCTGAAGGCCATGAGAGTGGGCAAGGTCCGGATTTCTGGGGGTATGTCATTCCAAAGGGTCGGGGCAGCCACAGAGAAGGCTCTCCTCCGGGAGGCCGCCAGCCGACATTGTCTGGCTGAGGGCATCTGAAGGAGGCCCACCCTGTGGGATATTACCGGCCAGTGAGGGAGGAATGTGGCAGTAGGCGGTCTCGC